TTAGGAGCACATAAGGGTGAGAGTTGAAATTTAACCCCAACAACTTTCTAAACAATTATCTTCTAATTTCATACTTGCTTACTTGTTTTCTCTTTTACAAATTTAATATTGATATGAACAACATGTTTATATTTGGTGTAAATCATTCTTTTTCAAGTTTTAACTAAGATAATAGAGATTACCAATATCTTTCAAGTCTTTGAGGTTCGACAATCCCCATTCATTTTCTATGCTACAAAGACTTGGTACATACACTTGCTTAAGAATCTCATCACTCCTTCATGTTGAAGTAACACAACCTCCTCATGGAATCATAGACAAGAATGTCTATATCCTCTTCGTTAGTGGCCTGCTCCTCCATCAGCCACTCCATTTCTGAATCCTCCTTAGAAATAATGCTCAGCATGGTAGAGTCCTTTGGTCGTCTTGGCTCTAGTACTACCAAGGAAGTATCTACACTGAAGGGTATAACTTCAATTACAAAAACTTCAACATATAGTTGAGCAACTTCATCGACTAGTCCATAAGTCTCTTCAACTAACGACGAAACCACTTCTGGTCCTACAAATTGTGCTTCAAATGATGCAGGTTGGACTTTTGCACCAACTTTAGTAGATGCTTAATAATGTTGCTAAGTCACTATCAAAAGTAAACTATATTTTCCAAAAAAATTATAATAGAAGGAATAACCTAGGTCATTCTTCACGAAGACACAAGCAATTTAATTTGTATTTTATAATGCAATTAGCAAGGGAATGTTTAATTTTTCAACACAATATTTAATCAATAAAATAGAGAATTAAGAATCAAATATTCAATCAAAGAAGTATCAATTCAAGATTTTAATCTGTATGATAAAATTTTCATAGTTCAAAAATAAATTTGAATTTTGAATGAACCTAATTCAACACAAACTTAATAAAAAATGTAGATCTAAATCTAGATCTATGATTTCCATCAAAACATAAAACATTATCGCGATCTCACAATTTTAATAAAATTTAAGAATAGTGAACGTTTGAATTAGACAATTTAGGTTAATTAAGGTCTAAATATAAATATAAATTTATATATAAAATTAGTCTTCAATCTCTATTCTAGACCCAAAATAAATTTCATAATCATGAAAAATGAAAGAAAAACTTAAAACACAAAAGAAAAGAAACATAGAATTCATTTGGTAAAAAGATTGGGAACTCAAATTTTACCATAGTTCTTGAAACCTAGAATCGAATAATGAACTAGTCATGCATCATATTCATGTTGCAAACAATCCAATTCATGTAAAAAGAGAGAAAATTTGAGAGAGAGTGAGATAGAGAAAGAAAGAGAGAGAAATTTGAGAAACTTATAGGAGAAAAAAACTTAATTTCTTAAAAATGATGTATATGATGTCAAGTGTACATGTGTTACAGTTATTTGTGAACTACACTAATGGGCCTAGTAAGAGTAATTAAAGGCCCAACCTGTTGAGATGATGGAGATTGTTAGAGATTGTGGAGATGATGAAGATGATGGAACATCTTGAAGACTCCTCAATATTGTTTAATTTTTGATGATGCATTATATAGATGTTGCTTAAAGCTATACAAAAGGATATTGTATTGATTGTAATAGATATAGGCTTGTGTGTGTTTGTTTATGATTGATGATGATGATGAATGCTAAATTCAAGAATTAATCAAGTTTTTTTAAGAAACCAAGAATTTGAGTTTTTTAGTATTTCCATGTGTAAATATAAAGTAATAGATTATCTTGGAAAGGGAAATTTACTACCAAGTGTTTAAACATAGAAATATGACTTG